TATTTTCAGCTGAGGACAATGGTGGAATGTAAAAATAGGCCTGAATAAATACGTGCACATTAGTCTTTAATTTCATGCCACTTTCTCCTTCAACTCCACTACACAAGAGGGAAATATAATATATAAAACAAAAACAACATTGTGTGTGACATCAGTGAGTGGCCTAGGGACTTTTTATGTTTGTACATCCTCACTTTAATGTCCAATTCAAAACCACACGCACCATATGATACCATAGGCCATAATACCATAATATAAACTGTGATTAGGCCATGGACATTACTGTAACCCGGGTTTTATTGATGCTTTTAAAAACTATAACCTGAGGCTGTGACTTTTTGACCGCCTGCAGTTCTCCCTGCCGCCTGTAGGGGGCGGGGCGCTCTCTTCCTCTCCTCAACGTTACCACGTCAATTACGTTACGTTACGTACGTACGGCGGCGAGGGTGTGGACGTCCCTCGCATTCAATCTACTGGAGACAACATAACGCTGCTAATAACTTCTGCTCTGGGCTTTACACGGCAACAGGAGATTATACCTGGTAAGTGTATCGGCAGACGTGGCGCCAGTGTGATTATTTAAACCCACGAAATGTTTTATTAGCGCTCATCTCAAGTCAAGGGAGAGAAAAACGGAGTTAGTTAGCGTGCTAGCCTAAACCTGTGTCTCATTTGCTCAACCGGAGGATGGTAGCTAATGTGTGCAGCTAATCGAGTCACTTTGAGTTAATAAGAGTGCCGTGAAGGACCATTTTTGTACTGCCAGCAGCGGAAGGGATATTCCCCTAAATAATCTAACTTAAATGATCTTTTTCTCCAGTGTTGGTGCAGCCAGAGAGGCTGCTGTAAACGGTGAAGTCGTTCCTGTGACACCAGGGTGTTGCAGTGTTTATTATTATTATTATTATTATTATTATTATTATTATTATTATTATTTGTTCTATATCACCTAAAAGTCAACCTCCAAGGCTGATTGTAGTTAACCTCACGCTTTAATGGCATTGATGTTAGGTTGAACTACAGCTGCAGTTGTTGTGTTATCATCTCTACTGTAACTTTTATCTTTTACAGTCTACAATCTTTTGAGTGCTCGGTTTATTCAGACTGTACGTTTAAAGATGTGGTTGTAGTCAATTGGTGATCTGTTTTCTATAGGTATGACTTGCAGTTATGCTTTTTATTTAGCCAACAAGTGGTTTAATCACAGTTCAGGCTGTGTGAATTATGAATACTTCATCTACTTGCCCTCCCTGTGTATCTCTTGTTTATTAAAATGCCATTTTACAGCTTGATATTCAAATTTGAGCCGTCGATTCATCTGCTGGTTGTTTTTTCGGTTAATGATTTGGTCTGTAAAATGTCAAGATCTTCAAGTGTTTGATCAAAGGTTATTATCTGTTTTACTATCACATATGACAATGAAAAGCAGTAAATCCTCAGAATAGTCATTTTTAATGCAATAATGTCAGAAATTGCTGTAATCAGCCTCTTAAATATGTTATCTCTTTGGTTTATATTATATTAAACTGAATATATTTGGGTTGTGGACTGACAAAACAAGATATTTATAGACCCTTTTCACTTTTGTTCCAGGCATTTTATAGACCAGTCGATAAATCTAGAAAATAATAGGAATAATCATTAGTGGCAGCCCTGTTCAATACTAATATAAATATTAAGGGAGTACAGAATTTAGCATGACACCGGATAGGAATATTTATCTACCCTGGTTCACAAGGTGCTATTCACAGCCAAGTGTTGTGAGTCACAATGCTGTAAACTGCGTACCCACCCAGTATTACTAAGGAGGATAAGATTACTCAGCACTGGGTTTCTTGGTTGCTTAGCTTTCTTTTTTTTATAGGTTTGTACAACAGAACGGTACGAGAGTGGATTTACCTGGAGGTTTGGACTGATTGAAAAACGTGTTAACAGAGGACCCGCCCCCTTTTCTGTCCCCTCTTTCAGGCGTTGTGTGCGTGCCGCTGAGCCCCTCTAACTGTGTGCCTCATTGTCCCAAATGAGGAACTGATGCTGGCCAGGACCCTGCTGAACCCCTCGGGTCGCCTCACTCATCGATCCCACTTCAGTTTTGCACCTTAAGAGAAGAAGAACACACCAGCCAGAATGGATGATATCTTTACGCAGTGCCGGGAAGGCAATGCAGTGGCAGTCCGCTTATGGTTGGACAATACAGAGAATGACCTCAATCAAGGGTGAGCCACGGTTTCTTTATTTGTGTATTTTCTTGTCATTAATCACTTCTGTCCATGGCTAATCAAATGCTGATTAAAAACAAACTCTTAAATGCAATATTAAAATAACCTACACCCCTAAGCTTGACTGGTAAATCATGTCCAGAAGTCTCTTGCTGTCATTAAAGATGTGTTTTAACTTGCCAAAATAATTAGTCAGTAATGATATCACACAAAAAATTGTATTCTTTTTAAACAAAATATCTTTACAGACATAAGATCAGACACTATCTTAGTGTTTTGAGATGCCCTTAAAAAATTGTTCAGCCAATGATTCCTTTTGCACAACTGTACTTTAATCTGCACAAGACTTGCCACAACATGAATTTGTGCTGCTAGATAAGGTGAATCAGAATCTCATGAAAATATGAGTTACACTGCAGCGTCTAACTTTCAAATGTTGCATTCTCAAGCCCAGTTTCTGTAGCAGGATGAAAGCCCGCCTTTTCATTCCCCAGCGAGATCGTGGCCTGTGATTGAACCCATTTCCTTGTGGGCACATGTTTATGTCCAGAATGCCAGCAGGATAATTCAACAGTGCGATTTTGGACAGGAAACCTTCTGTGATGGCAGAGTTAGTTCCATTTTCAGTTGTTGCTGCAATTAAATTTAGAACTTGAAGAAATAAAATTAAGAAAAAAAGCATATACATGCAGAGAATAGTGCAGGCTACTGTAAGATTTGACATGTTTATTATACAAAATATCTGATGGTTACAGGTCATCAGTCAGTGTGGAGAAGCTTCTGTATCCTCAGCTGACACCGTAAAGAAAACCTTGGCAGAGGTTACCAGTCAAGTAGTGATGACCACCCAGGAGGTTTCTCTTATGGACCTTTCTGTCCTAGATTTAGACTACCAGTGTTTATTTTCAGAGCAAGCAAAGAGAGAATTAATTTATCTGTTTAATATGATGACTGTGTACCTTGGAGCTCTGTTCTCTTTGTGTCTTTTTCTCCCATGATTTGTTTTAGTACATTTATGGTAAGAATATGAAGCACAGTAACAACTAGTTGGATTGTGTTATAATCTGTTTGCAAAGGATGTAGTTGTCAAGTTTTAGAAGTTTCACAGAAACACATAATTCGCCTTTTTTCATTTTCTTTAATTACTGTTGCAAAGTTGAACATAAAGATATACAACTAGTAATGTGCCAACCATCTAATTTCCTGTGTAATGTGAGAAAATGATTCATGGATTTGTTTAAGAGGTGTGATAACATCCAGAAGTGAGGTAGTTAATTTTAACCTAGTAATAATGCGATTAACAATAGGAGAGAGTATGAAAACAGAATTGATTTGTTGCCTTCTGAGGCACAGAGATGTCTCTAGGTACATTTTATTTTTGCTGTAACGATAAAACAGGAATTCATACCTTTTATATTACAATATTATAATTTTCAAAGTATAGTAAGTAAGTAAGCACATGCAGGATACAAATTACTGTTTTTTATAGCAGTATTGTGCTCTTTTATTAGTTTAATTTTCTCATTGTTGCTCGGCTGAATGATTGCATCCGGCCAGGGTGGATACATGCACCCCTACATGTGACTCGTCCATTAGCTGATTGCATGTCAAGTTCCCTTTTCCGGATGATATATCTCCCCCAGTGGGTGAAACACACTTATTCTTGCCTTTTCATTCCCTCACAGAACTTTGCCTATGTTCCAGTAAAACCCACTATATCTCAGCCTGTCAGAGTGTGCTCCTCGATGACCGTGTGTTTACACTGATGTAACGCCCTGACTAAGAGTAGTAGTGGAATGCTGAATCTCCTTACAAGGAATAACACACAGGCCTCAAGGGGATCGTCTACCACCTACCAAAACTCAGAGGGAGGGGGGGAGGAGATTATTGTAGTAGGGCAGGACTGAAAGAGTTATGTGTGACGAGACAGAGAATCTTTGTGTGTGTGTGTTTGTGTGTGGCCAAATAGTGAGTTTTTAAACAGAGAAATGCACAGTAGGCTGTGGCAGAGCACATCACCTTCCCCTCCTCCACTTATGTGTTTCCGGTATTCGTCTCCCAGTGGTATTAAATAGCTCCACTCATTTCCCCTCAACATTTCCTCCAAGTTCAGAAGAGTTAATTGCAAAGTTTAAAGCAAACTCTCCTAAGTGTTTACCATATACTCATCATCTCTGGTCCTTCCTGAATGTGTGTTACACTGCCACTGCGCTTGTTGCTGCGTAGTGTGAGCTATAGTTTTGTGGGTGTGAGGCTAATCTGTGGTTTGGTACCATTTTAGAACTATTTGGTTTTGAAATTAAATTCAGGTTATATGTAGAGCTTTGCTCTTCTTTCTTACTTTCTCTTTCGGCCATGCTATCACATATCACAAAGCTTTAAAGCTTAAATATATAGAAGATGTTTGGAATGTTTTATTGTAATAAGGACTAAAACGATAAACAACTGTCATTATTAAACAGCTACAGTTCAATTTTCTCAATCAATTAATCGACTAATTGTTTCAGCTCAAATGAGTCAATTAGCAGAAAATGCAACTATTTTAACAATTGATTAAAGATGATTATCTGTTTCATGTACTACTGTCAGGATATAGTGAAAGTAAATTGTTAAAGTTACCTACTGCAGCTTTGATGGTTTAAGTTGTGTGTTTTTAGTTGCCCTTTGTTGTCTTACATAATAATAATTACGTTTATAATAATAAATTGAATACCGTATATCTATAGGTTTTAGACTGTCGGTCAGACAAAGTCCAAACAAATGTTGTCGTTTTGGGCTCTAGGAAATTGTGATTCTGTTCTTAATGTTTTATTAAAAACAAATGCTTAACTGAGAACTGAGAATAGTTGCCACATTAATAAATAAAAATAGTTTGTTACAGCTCTGGTTGCATAAAAATATTGTTCATTACAATTGTATGGTTTACGAGGCCCTGTGCCGATCTCCATTCCTTACAGTGCCCTATTTGTGTTATTTAGTCTGAAACAGAAGACTGAGTTCAGTGTTGTGTTTTCTTTGGCCCGTGAGTGTGTTATTGTGGCTTTGATGGCTATCTGTGTTTGGCCTCATCAAAATGTAAATCCAAAAAAAGGCCTGTGCATGTGTGAATGACAGTTTGACCACTTCCACTCGTGATTGTTATGGCAATAATTGTTATAGAGTTTACCGTGTTGTTAGAGTCTAGCCTCCTTGTTTGGGAAGGAGGTAGATTTACAGTGTGAATACTCATTTTATATATATATATATAACCTCTGTGGTGGGGGCCAGCAGTATGAGCCTGTCGCCCTGCAATGGTTACTATTACAAGCAGCCAGTGGCGTAGAGGCTTGTTGAAGCAGGAAGCAATGGTTTTAGAAGAAGAAGCTTTTGTGAATGAGGCAGCACAAGTGATTGTGTTTAACACGGTCTGACGCCGCTCGGCTATGTTATGAATGGGTCATTACAAATGTACCGATATAGAATTTCATAAGGAACCTTAAATTACGCCCAAACCATGTTTTCTGCTTTGCTAATCTCATTCACTGGTTTCTACAGTCCTGACAGAAGATTTCTACTTAATACTCTCTCCTCCTTATTCAGACCAGGTTTCAGATGACATCTCTAGTCTGCAGCTATTGCAGAAAAGGCTCTAAATGTTCAGGCTTAATTATCAGCTGAAATTCCATTAGCAGATTATTTGAGGGTAGTGTATTAGTCACAGATACATTGGGTCTGACTTATATCTACTTAAATATTGTTTAAATAGCGGTAGATGTCTGACACATTGAACTAACTGCTGTAGTCCATGTAGTCTTATACGAATACCAAATGTCCAAAACACAGTACAGTAAAGAAAGGATGAGATTTCGATCACCATTATTTTAGCCAATACTGATCCAAATTCTGCTCTTCTTATGTGCGGTATGTTCAACATTATTTTAATGAACCATAAGTGTTTCATGATGGTGACAGACGAGAAACAAAGACTCATTTTCTCCAATGTAAAAACCTTGTTGCACCAACCACTTTAATGACAGCAAGAGTCAGTCCTACTACACAAACACAAAGTCTCTTCTGTGGAGGTTCTTTTCCTTTGTTAGATGTTTCTGTGAATTCCTTTTTCCTCATCTGAGGCTTGTTATATGACCTGGTGGGGATGTCGGGGCAGAGACATACAGGGTGCAGACAGGCGCTCTTCCTCGGGCTTTTCCGTCTGCCAGACTGAGCACTGTTGGCAGGTGGAAGTGCCTGAAATAAATTACCGCAGCCAGTGTGGAGGGGGTGAGCAGGAGAAAAACCCTGGCACTCAAGCGCCTTTGGGTTGCGGGGATGAAGTTAGCTTAAAGGGAAAATCTATCCTATAAAAAGGACCCCAGAATAAAAATACACATACAGAAGGCCTGAGCCTCACTTTATGTGTAAGTAGTACATGTTTTTAGCAGTTTGTTTTGTTTAAAAATCTTTAAAAAGTCTGTTAGCAATTAGGTTTGAATGATATTAGAAAAACAACAATGCACTATTTTGTTGATACACAAAAATGATTAATTAAAAAACAAAAAAGAAAAGTAAAATTACATCATTTCTGATGATAAACAGAATAAGAGAAAGAGAGTACCTGGTGTGTTTTTGTCCAACCAGCAGTCCAAAGCTTAAAGTCAGTTAACAGTGATATAAAACACAGAAAAGCAGTAAATCACCACATTGTAGAAGCTGGATTCAGAGAATGACTGGAGCGTTGATAAAAGACTTAAACAATTAATCAACTAAAAGTGCAATAGTTATGTGGATTGAGCAATCAATGAATTGACTGTTTCAGCTCTAGTTATGTGCAAACTGTGAATCTAAGCTCATACAATAAGTATGGTGGTAATTCTGTTTATTTGTGCACACATGCTTTAAAGGATACAGCCATTGACTTCACAACTCTGCTCGCTCCCCGAAACAGACTCAAGCTTAACACAGAAAACTAATAAAACCATAGAGGTGAGTCTGTGGGAGCTTTTCTCTTGTAAACTTAGGCTAATTAACTTGTAAGATTTGGCCTTTTGGTCTTAGAGGAAATTGCCTCTGAGAGCAGATCTGCTGTGACTGCAGCAGGTCACCCAGATGCACAGATAGAAGTGTGTTGTGGGACTGAGGGTCTCTGTGGGGCTCTTGATGCTGTTTTGAGCAGAGCTCTGCAGGATGTGCGAATACAAGCCAGTGAATTGATGGCGGGTCGGGCAGAGGGTTCAGATTCCTGCAGATTCATAATACTCCCTCAGTTCCCAGATCACATTATTATTCTGTCTGCCTACTCATAATTTCAGAGCAAGTGCATAACTTCATTATCTGGAGGATTGTTCTGTGTCTTGACGAACAGTAAAGCCCACATGGAAAAGGAAAGTGTATGGAAAGTGGAATGTATCATCAATACAGTCCAGCTGTTTTAGTGGAACTGAGAGGGGGAGGAAGGATTTGAATGAGAGGACGAGGGAGGGGAGAGACTCTGATGAGGGAAGGAACTTTGTAAGAGAGGAGGAGGAGGTGACCACAGCCAGGCGGAGAGAGTAGAGAAATGAAGAATGACACAATCGCACACAACAGCTGGAGTTTATGCATGTGCAGTGCTGCTGAAGGAAGTCTCGCTGGGCCTTATAAGGGCTGCAGCGAATGCAGAGCCTTTTTTCTTTTTTTTCTTTTCCTGATTGACTCTCTGTCACTTACTGCATCTTAATCTTTCAGTCTTTATCTCTTCTTTTCCGAGGAGGTACACCATCAGTCACTCTGTCATGTAATCGAGGCCACTGTCCTACATGTGTCGCTGCCAGTGTCACAGAGACAAAGAGGAATGATGAGTGCCAGAGGCCTATTAGCTGTTGTCTCAGTCTGAGTTGCATCAACTTCCTTTTTCTTTTTCAGAGGAAGATGACAGAAATATAAATAAACAAATTCCTCATTATGACTGTACAACTTAATGCTGCAGTTTCAGATTAAGTGCACTCAGTTGCCAGTTTATTGAGTCCAGTGTTACAGGACTGTTGCATTAGACTGCATTAGTTGGATAGGTGTACCCCGTAAACTGGCAACTGAGGCTATTTTTAAGTCTTATAAACAGATTATATATAATAGACCATAAACAATACAGCTTATTGAACTGATATGTATTTTCTACGTTGACCAACCAGTGTTTCTCTGGAATGCACACTTGTTGTCTTTATTTGAAAAGTGGTATTTTGATTGTCAAAGAAAAACCCATATGCTCCAAAAAACAGTCCCACTCTGTACCTCTTGGCCTTGTGCCAAGTAAACCACAGAGTTGTTTGCAGGGAGAAATTGAATTTGGATAGCCGAGGGGCTGAAGTTGGTGGTATACTTTTTTCTCCCTCGAGTCATAAACTTTTCCTGCCTGCCCTGTGGTTCTTCTAAGTCCTTGCTGTGCTGAAGGTCTTTGTGAAACCTGTGCTGAATACGAATGCTCCTCTCTCGCTGTAGGGACGACCACGGCTTCAGCCCTCTCCACTGGGCATGCAGGGAGGGCCGCTCCAGCGTGGTGGACATGCTCATCATGAGAGGGGCTCGCATTAACGTCATGAACCGTGGAGACGACACTCCTCTGCACCTGGCCTCCAGCCATGGACATCGCGAAATTGTGGGAAAGGTTTGTGTAAACACATGCACACAGTGGTGCTGGAAGAGGTTCCTTCCTGGTTCCTGTGGTCATCCACTAACTGACAATCTCTCTATTGTCTATTTGTCAGATTAGATCTTGTAACGTTAAACATGAAATCAAGTCAAAAACTGACACCAGGGCTGTAAAGCTGACACATATTCCTTCTTGCACGCACAAATCTCACAGAGCAAAATGGTGTCTCACTTCAAGTTTACTTCATACATGCAGGATATTATGAAACCTGAAATGATGTCACTTGAACATGAATTATAAAGACTAAGGTCTTGTCTGTTCTTGTAGTTTCTCCATCAGCAATTTTAAACTGAAGGGAGTGCAATTTGTCAGTGTCGAGGGAAAGTGTAAGGTAATGGCTGCAAGTATGATTATAAAACGTGCTTACTATTATAGTTGTAAAGAACAAGCAATGTAAGAAGTAGTTATTTTGCTCAAGATATAGATATCAATTCTATCTGCATATAGGCCTTTAAGTACAGCTATTTGTTCTTTTTACATGGATATCATAAAGAGGTTAGCAAACGGGACACCAAAATATGTTCAAACTTCACAAAAGGCAGAAAACAATCAATAGCTGCAATGAAACCAGAAATACAGGGATTCATCCATGCATAGTGTTTGCACCTGCAGGATTCCACTTTAGCCTTTTCAGATTCATCACATGTGTACACTGTATGTCCTGTTTAAAGCCTATGTAAGGTATACTTTTGGAGTTGCAACATGCACTGTGGTGTGTGGAGCTGCATGTGGCTGCAAAAGTATTGTAGTAGATTTTGTAAAACAGCAGGTCTGGTTGGTAAAACACTAAAGGTAAAAACACTGAAAGTTACCAGTCAAATTAAAGTATTTGTTTAATTTTGGTCTCTGATAAAATGCAAGGATATCTTGTATCTCTGAGTATGCCATAATGTCAGGCTTGTGCTCGAGGGTGTCTGATTTAGAATAGCTGCCAGGCAGTTGAGTTTAATGATAGGCATGTCTCAATACCTCTGGTATGTATCCACAGGCAAGACCAACCTCCATTATTTTTGTTGGCAGCATTTACACTCATCCCTGTATACAGCCCAAACAAGATCTGGCCAGTCTTGTTTTGCATGTAATCCTTTGTTTTTGCTTCTCTTTTAGCTGATCCAGTGCAAAGCAGACACTAATGCAGCCAATGAACATGGGAACACACCACTGCATTACGCCTGCTTCTGGGGCCAAGACCAAGTGGCTGAGGTTAGTGCACCCCCTGGTGGTGATAACGCTGAGACAAGGTCCCATCTCGACAAACTGTTAAAAATGTGGCTGAAAACAATCTGTCTTTCTCAGGACCTTGTGACTAATGGGGCTCAGGTGAGCATCTGCAACAAATATGGGGAAACTCCCATGGACAAAGCTAAACCCCACCTGCGTGAACTCCTCAGAGGTATCCTGACTCTCCATTGCCTCTCACCTCATTCCAGCAGGTTCAAATGTATTTTGTCTTTGTGTTCAATTTTCTCATTGAATTCTCCCTGTCCCTCCACCGCACAGACAAAGCTGAGAAAATGGGACAGAGTTTAGCTAAAATTCCCTTCAAGGACACGTTCTGGAAAGGCACCACCAGGACTCGACCCCGTGAGTCCCACAAACACATAAAGCTTTATTCGCTGACCACTTTCCATCAGTTAGAGTGCTGCATGAAAGGGAAAAATATTCCAGGCTGGTCTCCCAACCGGTCCTAATGTGGCGTTTGAAATTTCCACTGCTTTTCCATCTGCATGCTGTTGTGCTGAATTTCACAGGAATAATGCATCTTTTGTCTGAGCTTTGACTTGTCACTGATGTTTGTCTCAATCTTGTGTTTTTAGGCAATGGCACTTTGAACAAACATGCAGGAATTGACTACAAACAGCTCTCTCTCCTGGCTAAAGTAAATGAGAACCAGTCTGGAGAGGTACTTTATATTCTTGTTTTCTTGTTTTCCATTCTGCCGATGCTCCGTTAAAGGTCATTCACTTCACTTTTTCTGTATGTCTTTCTCATCGGTAGCTGTGGCAAGGGCGCTGGCAAGGAAATGAAGTTGTTGTTAAGGTGCTAAAAGTCCGTGACTGGACCACAAGGAAAAGCCGAGACTTCAATGAGGAGTATCCCAAACTCAGGTTATTATTTAATACTGACTTTTCTACAGCCTATATGCTCTGCGCTGTCGTGGTCACTCATTTGTCTGTTTGCATTGTGTTGAATCAAACTTTACGTATTCTTTCTTTTTGGGGGTGTCGCATCTCACACAAGCCGTTTGTTTATGTCAAATCCTCTGTGGGTTTGCCTCTTTTTGTCTGTCTGTCTGTCTGTCTGTCTCTCTTCCCTGTTCCTCCCTCCCTCCCTCTGGCCACATCCCAGGATATTTTCCCACCCGAATGTCCTACCCATGTTGGGAGCATGTCAGTCTCCTCCCGCCCCTCACCCCATCATCATCACACACTGGATGCCTTATGGCTCCCTCTACAACGTGCTGCATGAAGGCACCAGTGAGTACTTCTACTCTGGTCACAAAGCCCGTACTTGCAGGGATTTGTGATTTATTGCACTTGTGCATTTGTCATTATGTTGCCATCACTTTTTGTACAGTAACTGTCATCCTGTTATGTGGTGAAAGTACGGGTGGCTGAAACCTGTTTTGATTTGTCACTCGTCCTGCTGTCAGACTTTGTAGTGGACCAGACGCAGGCGGTGAAGTTTGCTCTGGATATTGCTTGTGGAATGGCCTTCTTACACACACTTGAACCCATGATCCCTCGCCACTATCTCAACAGCAAGAGCGTCATGGTAAGAAGAAGTGTGGTTTCAGCATAGCTTTCAGGATCGTAAGGATCAAAGAAAATTGTGTCGCCTAAAAAACCCAGAAAACTGCCGAAAAAGGAAGTGATGTTCTTTCCTATCTGAGTCAGTGTTCTTTGTCTCCACAGATAGATGAAGATATGACAGCCAGGATCAGCATGGCAGACGTCAAGTTCTCCTTCCAGTGTCCTGGCAGGATGTACTCGCCTGCTTGGGTAGCGCCCGAGGGTAGGCATCACTCATACAGCACAGATCCACAGTGACAGCTGGAACCACTCAAGCTCCAGCGTGAATGATGGATGCAGGGACTGTGCACTGTCTCTGAACTAAATTTAATCTGCAGCTGATTTCCCTTTGAGATACAGTAAAATCAGAGCAAGTTTGAAACATAAGCTGGTTACAGAATATGAAAATAACCAGGGAACCTTTGCAGCAGGGATGCAAACAGTAACAGCAACCCACAGAAAGGGTTTTAAGTTGTGTATAAAGCAGAATGGCAGAGACTGTGTGGGATACAGCTTACCAGTTACCATAGAAACAACCATACAGTAATACATATAGTGGGTAGTGAGCGTGGGTAGTGAAAACAGAGAGCGTTGCTTTTGATAAGGCACAAATGTACAGATTTTGTTATGGTGAATTACAATATGCCTTCAAATCTTCAGCAAGGATGTCTCTGTAACATTTAAACTATAAATGTATGTTGTCATGTCAAGATTTATGTATTAACTATTTCTGGTAGTCGCTTATTGGAAGAGATGGAAATCCCCAAATCTTGTGGGGAAAAAAGGAGTTTTAGATTGAATTTGGATACACAGACACTGAGGGTTGTCAATCACTGGTATTGCTGGGACAGTATGATAATATTTCTCTTTATATCTTAATATATTATCTTAACTTAAATGAAATATGGTTTTGTTACCAAAACAAACCACATCCGGTTTCTTACAGAGGAATTTCTAAAGTACTTGTGTATGACAGCCCTAGTTTTACTTTTTTATCATTGTTTTCTTTTTCATTTAGCCAAGCCCTCATGATAGAATATTTTCACTTCATTGTGTTGACTCATATAGAAAAAGGGAGACTGAGTAAATATATTCAAGGTGACATTACATTTTAGGAGATAAATAGAAAAAGGTTTATTTGACAAGTCTATTTCCATTTCCGTTTCCTGCTATCTGCTATAAACCTGCTGCTTTTGTGAAATGAATTGCATCATATCAGAGATAAGTTACCTCACTTTACCGTCATCTATTTCCATATAGCCTAAGGGACTCTACTGAGGACGCTAAGGTTACCAAGCACTTTTACACCGTCTCCTCTTTAGCCCAGTGTCACATTTTACCACAGTTTACTAAAGCAAATGCAAACTGTAAAGGTAGTTCCTCATGATTACGCTGTATTATGATTATGATACCACTCATTGAGAATTGATGATTACTGAAGTAAATGATGTGAATGATTTTGTTTTGTGATAATTTTGTTCCACATACGGTTCAGTTCCCTGGTTGTCAATGAATATTTCAATGAATATTTCACCACACTGCATAATAATAAAAACGTTTTGCAGAAGGTAGAGGGAGGCACTGCCTGTTGTTTGGTTCAGGGTTTTTCAATGCTTTTTGGAGGACCCACCAATGCTTTTTGGAGGACTTTGGTTCGGGAAGCTTGGGAACCCCTGGGGGTAGTTCAGTGTGTTTGCTCTGCATAACTTTCCCTTGTTGCTCTTTGTGATTTCCAGCCCTGCAGAAAAAGCCCGAAGAGATCAACCGTCGGTCAGCAGACATGTGGAGCTTCGCTATCCTGCTGTGGGAGTTGGTGACCAGAGAAGTGCCGTATGCTGACCTGTCCAACATGGAAATTGGCATGAAGGTTAGTGGAGCTATCTTTGGCTCATTAGATTATCAACAGAGTAGCAAATGCTTGCAAAATCAACTATAACTCATAGCTTTAATGCATTCAGGAATTTCTTTTCTACAGTACCAAACGTCTGTCTGTTTTTGCTCTCAGGTTGCCTTGGAAGGTTTGAGGCCCACTATCCCCCCCGGCATTTCACCCCACATTTGCAAGCTCATGAAGATCTGCATGAACGAAGACCCAGCAAAGAGGCCTAAATTTGACATGATTGTGCCAATCCTGGAAAAAATGCAGGACAAGTGAAAATCCTCCTCTGCCCTCCTGAACCAGATATCTTTACCCCAGATGGTGGTGTGGTGCTTACCAGTATTGCCTTAAACTCTGCCGCTGCATTCGACGCCACTGTAGCTTCTGCTTCTGAGATGAATTCAGCAGCAGTCACTTCTTTTATATTGTTTTTTTTTTTTCTTTTTTCAATGTGATATAAAATTTTATTTGTGTCTTCATCTTTGTCACTGATCCGCTGATGCTGGCTCTGCAGGAGCTTAATATTGACTGTTCATCTTCTAACCTGTAATCACGTGGACTGAGTACAATCTTCTAGACTGAATAACCTGTGGAGGTCAGCATGACAGTCTGCTGCATTGCTTCAGTGGATTTAAGGCCTTATTTTGTAACTGGAGTGGGCTTACTATTAAAAAGTCCCCCTGTATGGAAAAATAATGGTGGCTCCTAATAAAACAAATAGCATATTAACTCAAAGCTTGTCTTGTGGGGAAAAGTTTGTTTGTTATGTCAGCAACAAACTGTATGCAAATGGACAAGCATGACAAGTGTCTGAAACCGAGCATTTAAACATGTAAGATTAAGAAAATGTATATGAATGAGTGTTCCCAATGAGAGTACTTAGCAGTGCTGTACCATTCAGCTTGGCTGTGTAGTGATGTGTAGAGCTTGACCTGTCTTGGGTGTTGGCTCCTGATTTGTATCCTGTACAACCTGCTGACCATTATGTAAAACTGGCCATAGAAACTTTTTGTTTGATGCAGCAAACATGTCAGTGTTGATCATTGCAATTTTGTGAGGATTACTTAAAAAAATGCATTGCAAGATTGCAGATTTTCTCCTCATAATTGTAATAATGTAATTAACTAGATTACTCAAGTGTATTCCTGGTATCTAGTTTATTTTCATTATTTTCTCTTCAAATCTTAACAGTTTTATTATGATTTGAATTCTGTAAACTATACAAAGGGTCATTCTCCCTTTCAACATGTTTAACAGTTTAACTCAAGTGTTATTTTCATGTTGAATATGGACGATCTATGTAATCCAACATGTAATACTTTGTAGTGTCAGGAATGAATACTGCAACCCAGACTAATTTATTCATGGTTAGCTGTAATTGTTTTCTTCTCAAGCATTGGGACTGCTTTTCCTCAAGTGTATGGCTACATCAGAAGCTGCTGCCAGCAGAAGGTGACTGGGACATTAAGGGGGATGGTATTAACATCCTGCTAACTCATTATTTTCCCTTTTT